GGTGTGCTTACCATTTGGCAGGCGTGCGCAGCGCTCTGCGGGTGCACGTGAGCGGGTGTGCTTACCATTTGGCAGCATGTGGGGGTTGTCCAAAATTACTTCGTCGATGGGCAGGGGCTCACTGGTGGAACTCGTCCAATCGCGGTCCAATCGCGGAATTCGGCCGTCCCAGCCCTTTCCAGCAAACAGATCTGGAAAGGATTGTCCGGGCCTGCGGAGAAGAAACCTTCCAGAGGGAACTTTCGTGCGAGACCGCGAAGTCAAAATTAGCGAGAATTACATCGGCACCATGCAACGTCTAAATGCATAATAACTTCGTTACCCTTTCGCAGTCCAATCGCCGTTCTTTCGCGGCTCGAGTTTTTTCAATCGCGCGGTTCAAGAAACTGCCGCTGTTCATAAGTTTTAGACATGCAATTGCGGACGGCCCCCATGTGCGCAGCGCTCTGCGGGTGCGCGTGAGCGGGCGTGCTCACCATTCGGCAGGCGTGTGCGCAGCGCTGCGCGCGTGCACGTGAGCGGGTGCGCTTACAAGTTGGCAGGCGTGTGCGCAGCGCTCTGCGGGTGCACGTGAGCGGGCGTGCGTACCGTTTGGCAGGCGGGTGCGCGGCGCTGTGCGGGCGCACGTGAGCGGGTGTGCTTACCATTTGGACAGGCGTGTGCGCAGCGCTGCGCGGGTGCACGTGAGCGGGTGTGCTTACCACTTGGCAGGCGTGTGCGCAGCGCTGTGCGGGCGCACGTGAGCGGGTGTGCTTACCATTCGGCAGGCGCGTGCGCAGCGCTCTGCGGGTGCACGTGAGCGGGTGTGCTTACCATTTGGCAGACGCGTGCGCAGCGCTCTGCGGGTGCACGTGAGCGGGTGTGCTTACCACTTGGCAGGCGCGGTGCGGGTGCACGTGAGCGGGTGTAGTGCTGATGTGTACCTGGCAGTGCTTTGCATAAGTGACGCAAACAAACACTGCTGTTTGCGATGTTTTCCGCGCCCGGGGCAAGAAAATGCTGGTATTTGCGGTGTTTTCAGGAGCGGGAACGCGCCAGAACGCCGCAATTGCCAGTGTTTTTTGCGTGCGAAGCAGAAAAACACTTCCATTTGCAGTGTGGCGCCGAGCGCGGCGTTATCTCGGCTCGGAAGGAACAACAACAACAACAACAACAACAACAACAACAACAACAACAACAACAACAACAACAACAACAACAACAACAACAACAACAACAGCAACAGCAACAGCAACAGCAACAGCAACAGCAACAGCAACAGCAACAGCAACAGCAACAGCAACAGCAACAGCAACAGCAACAGCAACAGCAACAGCAACAGCAACAGCAACAGCAACAGCAACAGCAGCAGCAGCAGCAGCAGCAGCAGCAACAGCAGCAACAGCAGCAACAGCACAGCAGCAACAGCAGCAACAGCAGCAACGGCGGCAACGGCGGCAACGGCGGCAACGGCGGCAACGGCGGCAACGGCGGCAACGGCGGCAACGGCGGCAACGGCGGCAACGGCGGCAACGGCGGCAACGGCGGCAACGGCGGCAACGGCGGCAACGGCGGCAACGGCGGCAACGGCGGCAACGGCGGCAACGGCGGCAACGGCGGCAACGGCGGCAACGGCGGCAACGGCGGCAACGGCGGCAACGGCGGCAACGGCGGCAACGGCGGCAGCGGCAACAGCAACAGCAACAGCAACAGCAAACAGCAAACAGCAAACAGCAAACAGCAACAGCAACAGCAAACAGCAAACAGCAAACAGCAAACAGCAAACAGCAAACAGGAAACAGCAAACAGCAAATAGCAAATAGCAAATAGCAAATAGCAAATAGCAAATAGCAAATAGCAAATAGCAAACGGCAAACGGCAAACGGCAAACGGCAAACGGCAAACGGCAAACGGCAAACGGCAACGGCAACGGCAACGGCAACGGCAACGGCAACGGCAACGGCAACGGCAACGGCAACGGCAACAGCAACAGCAACAGCAACAGCAACAACGGCGGCAGCAGCAGCAAGCAACAGCAACCATAACTGGAGCAACAACAGCGAAAACAAGGGCAGCAAGACGCTGCTCCGCGCAAGCGGCTCCGCGTGGCTCGCGTGCAAAGAGCCGCTTACACGGGGACGGTACGCACAAGAAGGGTCTTGATCAGCCACGCTGGCTTTCGCCAATTTTGTTGCGGTTTTGCTCGCAGGCTTCTTGTTTGTAATGCGCAGCGCGCAGGCAGCTTGGATCAGCCTCGTCAAAACCACGCGTTTTTCCAGTCTTCAGCCACGAACAAGCATTTTTGACAGTTTCAAGTTTCAAGGTGTTTTTTGAACGATCAGCAGCATCCCCAGCATCCCCCGCACCACCCGCATCCCCCGGGCAAGCGCAGACTCACAAGCCCAAGGCTGCAGGCCTAGAGCCAGACCCAAAAATAAGCCCAAAAAACGCACCCGCCAAAAGCAGATGACGCAGGTGATGCTTTTTACTTTCCACTTCACGGACCCCCCAGCCGCATCCTCTGCATGGCTGGCGGTTATATGTGGTAGTCATACTCGGCGCCCCACCTAGGCCTCAATTTGGGCACAGACACAGAAATACCATGAACACGCGGGGTTTAGCCCAACAGCCAATGTTCTTGTTGGGGAAATACGCGCCAGGGTCGTAACCTTTGTCAGAGTTTGGAGTTGACTCGGGTAGGACGGCCATCATCTACCCGTTAGTTACTACACTGCCCTCTCTCGCTCTCTCTCTCTCGCGCCCCCCCTCCCTGAATTGCCTTCGTGTTTCTTCTCTTTACAGGAAGGGACTTACAAACCATTTCGTTCACGCAAGCCATTACAGCTTCAACCAACCTGCACAAGGGTGCCCTGGCAAGGCAAACCCAAAACAGCTCGACATCTTTACAATGACCAGCCATGACCACATATGGCCAGGTGGCTCCTGACGCCGGCGCAAACACCGAGCCGTCCGCCAAGCTCTGAGGTGGTTCATTACATCTTAGTTTTTGGTTTTGAGCCCCCCCCCCGATGACCAAAATAACTTTGGGCGGGTCTTTCGTGTTTCTTTGGTCTTTGATGATTGTGTTTGCTTTTCATCTCCAACTTTCATGGGAGACATCTTTCTATGGGCGGGCTTCAAAGAAAAGAGTGTCAAAATAATTAGGACCCCACTTGGTTTGGGGTTTTCCCTTTACGCCGGCCCAACAAACGAGCCTCAAACACAGACGCTCCCAAATGGCCAATGTCAATTCATAGCCTGAAAAGTTGGTATGCGGGTCCACAGTTTTAATGTTAGATCCAATCGAAGAAGTTTTGAGTGGATCCTAGTAAGCCTAATTCACCCCCAAATGGGTATGTGTCCAAATACGGGGACTTGAGCAAACACTTCTATTTTTGTGCCTTGGTCCAAGAAAAAGCAATTTTCCTGGTGATTTGTGGTGAAAGTTTGGTTGAGGCCAAATGCCAGCCACTCCTTTTGTGGTTTTTCCCCTGTACGCCTCAAAAAGAAACCTTGAGCCTCAAAAATGGGAAGGACCGAGCCTTGAGCCTTAAAAATTCAACAATGGGAACCTTGAGCCTTTCCAAAAGGGGACCCACAAGCCTCAAAGTCGCGGAAACGCCGAGGTGGTGACCTTGCGCGCTGCGGACCTCGAGACCTTCTTGGCGCGGGGGAGACGTCGGGGCTTCGTCGGGGCTTCGTCGGGGCTGCGTGGGGTACGAAAGGAGTTAGGTCCCGCAATGCCCTTTTACCCAACTTTTTTGGGGGAGGGTTCCCCTACAATAGACTACAGAAAAAAGTTGGTACCCCTATTCGAACCTCTCTACTGGAGCACCTAGTGAGTTAGGCATGCGAAATGCGAAATGGAACCGCTAGAAAAGCGAGCCATACCTGGATGGTTGCGTCCGAAATCCATGTCCCACCGCGAAATGAAACCGTGGTATTTACTGTGCGGACTCGAATCATTCCAGGGTTTCTGCAGGAGTTCGATCCACTATGGTTTCCTTCAGGGGACTCCCCAACTCCGGTTCATTGCCAACACCTGGAAGGTCATTCCCTACTGAGCACCAGCAAGTTTATGGAGGGTGGCTCGTAGGGGACGGACCCCGAAACTAGCTTCGGTTTTCGTATAGGTTTTCCCTTACCAAAGAAGGCCTCAACGAAAAGGTGCGCCCGTGTTCTCTTTTCCTGGGAAAGATCAATGGAAATGGATCCCGGACCCTCGCCCAATTCCTCCTTTGAGGTAGGTTCCCCTGCAGGTAGGGAGTATGTCCGGGGATTGTGTCAGGAAAGCCATGGAGACATACGACATCGAAATGACTTTGCCATGGCTCGTCTTTTTGGAGGCCGGGACCCATAAAACCAACAGCTCAAAAAAGGCGAGCCACCCTCGGAAAGGCCAAAAGTGCGGGAAGAATCCACCAGAACGGTCTGCCAAAATATCGAAAATCAGCCGAATGGCGAAACGTTGGCGACTCGTTTCACAGGGAAACCCCACCCTGGAAAGGGAGACCCTGATTTTCTCGGGTGTTCTATTCAGAGGCCCGGGCTACCAGCTCTTTCGTTCTTTGTGTTGGTTAGGAACCTGACGGGACTATTGTTTGCGGTGTGTGTTGTTTTTGAGAGCATCATTTTTGGGTTGGTTTGCACATGAAGGGACCCTTACTTGTTAGACGTTCCAAAAGGAGCCGCGGACTGACGATGATTTTTAGGTGGTCTCAAAATAGGGAACCCTCCAAACACGTGGTTCTGTTTTGGTTTCACTCTAAACCACCCTTTGTGGGGGGGTTGCTCGCGTGCTTGTTTTGGGCCAATGGCTCATGGGGCAATGCAGAGGGTAGGTTGCACTTTCCCAAGGGAAACCGGTCCCCCTTTGAACCTGCAAAGGGTCGAACAACATTCTAGCAGCAAGAAAATGGGGAACGGAGCTGAGCCCAGTCTATTGGTTCTGTCTTTTGGGTATCAAAGTCTAAAACTAGAATTGGTTGTTTTCTTTCAACCTAACACTTAGGGAGTGACGCTCTCTAAACACTACGGGTGGAGCAATAAATCCCTTTCCCATAACGATTGCGCGCCCAAACACACCTTTCTGGGAAAGACTACAATAGATCATGTTTGGTTCGTTGTAGTTGGGAGGGTTGGTGTGTTTGGGGGGTCCAAACAGATGGCCATGGGTCAAAATCCCATACCTCTAGTGAACATCCCAACCCCACAAAATAGGTTCTAACATGGCTGGTGACTTCACCGACCAAAATGGGATCCCGTTTAACGGTTTTGACCACCACCGCCAGATCAGTTCCATGGCTTCACTCCTCTCGACGGACCGCTCGGATCGAGGATGGCGGCGATCGGCCTGCGGTGCTCATGGTGAAGCCCAGGAGCTCGACTCGAGGCTGTGGTCAAAACCGTCAAACAGGATCCCATGCTGGTAGGTGAATCCACCCATTTTAGAAAACCTATTTTGGTGGTTGGATTGAATCGGATGTTTGGAGTTCCGATTTGGATTTTGACCCATGGCCAGATGCGTTTCTGATGGCAAGACGGGGCCCGTTTAGAGCGCATTTGGCTATGAAATATTGCCAGGGAACCACCTTACACGTGGTGGGTCCACACACCCGATTGAGTGTCTTTGGGGTCTATCAAAGTCAACTGGGGTTGCTTCCCTGAAAGCTAAGACTTGGGTGACTTTGGTAATGGTAAAACCATGGGCGAGTTGGTGGGTAGTTAAATCGAGGCCAAAAGAATAGAACCTTTTTCTTGTCTTGTTTGGGGGAGTTGGGACAGCGGAAGGAGATCACGAACCTGGGGGGGATGGGCCATCCGTTTTGAGAACACCCACTTCAGCCTTTTGTGACTTAAAGTCTTTCGGGGCTATACCACGCCCAAGCCTGGAGCTCTTTCGGGGCAACTGCTCGTGTTTCACAAGGGCTGAAAGCAATGGGGTTGCCAGGCCCAGGTAGGCTCCGGGGTGATTCGGGGCTTTCCCGGCCAGTTCCGGAACTTCGGTTCGAGCAATTTCTGAGGTTCCTGGGGATACCACCTGGGCATTGTTGCTTGGATGGACAAACAATGTAATTGTCCAGCCTGTAGTTAGTTCATCAGGTACCCCTGATTGGCGTTTCGGTTTGTGGTTTGGGGATTTGAAGCCCTGGTTCTTGTGAAGCTTTACTCCAAACAAACCAGAAAAAAAATAAACCAACAAAAAAACAATTGGAGGGCAGCTGAGATCGCAAGGTTGATTGCTTGTGAGCAGTTTGAGTACTTTTTCTTTGTTGACCAGGGGTGCACCCCCAAAAGCGATCGCATCCAACCCGCACCAGCGACACGACATGAGACCACCATGTTTCATAGGCTTGCAACTCCACTGGTTTAGGCGAGAGCCCAAGATGATCCTATGAGCAACGGAACCAACCATCATGTTCGGCCTGCTCTTTTTCACAAGGGGACAGAGGTTGACTGGTGAACTCGCCGAAGTGTTAAAGTTGGGTTCTCGCAATAGATTGTCGCTTCCTTTGGTGCAAGGGGCTGCTCCAAAGAAAAGGAGCTGCAGTAAGCCCCCGCACCCCACTTCACTTGACCTTGCAAAGGCCCTGCAAAGCCTTCTTACTACTTGGGTGTTTGATTCGCCAAGTTAGGAAGTTGTTGTTAACCTAGGTGGTAACCCACTCATAAGTCCCCTTATCAGGCGTGAAATAACCCAAGTGGCTAACCACTTACCCACTTTGGCCGAAGGTCCAGCTAGGGTTTCGAACCATTTGGGGGTAACAGTGGACCCTGGGGCGGACTTGTGGGACAATGAAATCGGATTTAAAACAAAAAAGAAAAGCCTTCAGGCACCGATCTCTTGAAATGGATCGGACACACCCTCAAGGGGTTGAAGAGCTCGCGCCCTGAAAGCTTTGGGAGCTTCAAGGGCACCAATTCCGGCCCCTTAACATCGCTAGACCTAGCTTACCTTTTCAACTCGTTGCCTTTTTTTGGATGTCCTTTGTCATGTTTTGTTTCAACCAGCAAAAGGCTCATAACTTTTTGCAGGATTAACTTGACCTCAAGTCAAGTGCTCAAACTGACTCCTTGGAGAATCAACAAGTCAATCAGCCTCTTGGGATCTCGCACACCATCGCCGGCCCCCGCAAGTTAGCTGAAATGAAATTCCCTCAGAGTTTTGCCTTTAAAGCACCCATGTTTATACCGACATGATTACGCCACGGTGCTTGCTTCAGATGTATGGTACCTCGAACCTTCATCCGAATTACTACACCCTGTGGATGGACGAAATCTGCTCCACCTAAGAACCACTGGAATTATGATTCCCCTGCAAATAATTACCAACAAACGTCATGGTTTCATTCCCATGCATCCCATGGTTCATTTCGTGCCGAGGATTTCTCGCGTCACTATCACTATGAACTCCTTTCCTTCAAACAAATAGCGCTCCAAATTCGCTAAGTCCGAAATTTCGCTCCAAATGGCTGAGGAGTCCGAAAACTTTCGCTCGCACTTCGCGAAGGAGCGGTCCTTGGTCCGAGGTCCGCGCGCTCTTCGCCGCCCTGTCGGCCAAGCTGTCGCGGTTTCGGCGGATGCCTCGGCTTCCGTGGGACAAAATGAATCCACGCAGGGTACATCCAGGGCTCCATTTTGGATACCTACGTTTCAGCCACAGCCATGTGCTTCTGAATCTTGTTAGTTATTTTCCCCCAGTTTTGCTATTGAAGGGAAACTACTACTGCCGGATTTGTTTTTGCCAGGGGGCGTATCCGCAAATGGAAGCCGGGGGTTGGCTGTTGCTGGTGACACCAGGTGGTTTGCAAATCCTCTTTTTGAGCTTGCTGTGTTCCGGAGGGCGGGACATCAGCCAACAAGAAGGGTGCCTTTTGCCGATACACGCTGTGTCTTTTGTGTCCACGATGTTTTAACATCCGTCTATTCCAAAACTAGAACTAGCTGCTTTCCCTGACAAGTTCCCCTGATGCTCTTTGTTTTGGCAGAAATGTGAAGTTCAAGCTCCCCCACCGCCACCCCCTCACCCAACCAATTTAGCAGACATTTGTTGACGAGATTTTCGAAAGCGGCTATGTCTTTTCCGCCCGACTCGGTCAGGACTTTTCGTCCTTTGTGTCCGCAGCCGCAGGTCCCCATTAAATTCAGCTTGCCCTTTGCTGGTTTGAATTTGGATTTGAGTCTAATCGGGGTTTGGCACCCCACGAGGTCCAAACCGAGCCAAAACACCAGAGGGAATCTGAGAGTGGGTTCCGGGCTGGTTGCCCCCATTTGCTCTCCAGTCTCAGGTGTTCAAATCCCCGTTTCGGGGTTGCCTGAGATTTGCCCAGGCCGACTCTGCACTTCCATGTTGAGGCCATGTTGTTGGATCCCGGACTTCCAATCCATGTTCAATCCCTCTTTTTTGGGAGGGGGTTCCTAGAATCAAGTACACAAGAAGAATGCCTTTTTCTCTGACCACTGGGTGTGGGCCAATTCGGGGAAGAAACAAAACTGCAGCTTGTTGCAAAGAGTGTTTCTTGTGAACATTTCCAGCTTGAGTCAAGCACTAACGGGTCGCAAAGTCCCAAAGGACCATACCGGCCCAGGCCCAGAGCCAGGATTTAGGGCACTTCAGGCCATTCAGAAATGGAGGTACTCAATTTGCTTGATGACGAAATGTTGCGCTCGCCCCCTCCTTTCGGGCACAAGACTGTTCCAGAGTTGTCTTCGAGTTGTCGTTTCACTTGTGTCCTGATCCTCCGCCAAGCTTTGCCAACTGTTCCGTTTGGGGAATGCACGGTTTAGCCATTTTGTTTTGTCTTGTGCCAAGGAGCAAATGCTTGAGGATGGGTCTGGTATCCTATTGGAGCAATGAGCACTTCGCGCCGTAGGGTCTCCAATTTCGAGCGATTGGAAGCCAGCTTGAGGTCCCAAGCAAAGCCCCTGATCAGATTGGAGGGTGTCCACAGGCATGAGCTGACCGGGTCCGGAATTGCGCTGTCATCCCAGTCTCACAACCCTTGGACCATGTCTCACATCTCCCCCCGCAGTCTTTTGTTGATGCGACGTTTTCATGTGAGTGTTGCTTGGCAGTTTTCCCAAGGTTAACATTCCTTTTGCAGATCGATCCTAGTGCCTTCGACCCAAGTCGAGGTTTGCCGTGTACAACCACGAGGCGCATTTGGTGGAATCCAATGGAGTTCTCAGAATGGATTTCGTGCCCCCGAAAAGGTCGGTATGAAACAAAACATGAAGCCAACCATCTTAGCAGACCGCCATTCTGAGAACCCCCCAAGAAAATCAAGCCAACTGAGCCAAAAAAGGTTGCAACGTGAACAATCATGAGGATGTCCTTGATATGGGTCTGTGCTGTACCCTGGGTACCTTTTGTTTGGTTTTACAGGACACCAACAGGAAAACCACCATTTTGGGGGGTCCTAAAAAAGACACACTCATATGGAACAAGAGCATTTCCAGCAATTGGTGGCTGGTGGGTTTATTTGAAATTCCGGTCCAAGTACGTAAGGACGTACTTTGACCCTTCCTCCTCCAAAACAAACTCAAAGGGTGTGTCCTGTTCCCTTCTTGATTTTGATGATCGACCTTTCGCCACTTGGATCAAGCGGTTGGATTCACCCTGCTCACGTGGGTTTCCGCACGCGAGCTTAGTTGTTTCAGCCTGGTTTTAACGTCCATTCTCTGAAATGTTTGTTTGCATTTGGAGTTGTATCACTACTGGACATATTCTGTTTTTTGTATTTGTTTTGTCCAGAGGTCTTACTGTAAGATCTACCAGGGCTTTCGATTTTACCTAAGGAAAACTGAGGGGTGCGCCCATGGATGAGACCATGTGTGATTTTAAAACATCTCAATTTTGCAGGAGTTCCGGAAGGGTGATGTTTGAAGGGTACCTTTTTTGGGGTGAAGCCCGGTGTGATTTCTTGAGATCTAAGAAGACTTCCCAGTTTATAGGGACTTCCAGACAGCCTCGAAGCATCGTCCTCTCAGCGCGTGAATGTGTGAGCTCTCGCCAAGATCTCAGCGCGTTTTTTTCGGTGTCAGCTCGCGAGGAGGACATTGACGAGAGGCACTTGGGGATCGAAATGAAAGCCGGCTCAGGGGATAATGCAGCCTAGACCTTTGGAACAGAAAAAGAACCCATTGTTGTTGGGAAACATTTTACATTTTTGCTTATTGTGGTTTAGTGGGAAATCCCCACTTGGCCCTTGGCTGCCAAAATTTAAAAATTTGTTTGCTCCCCTTTCAACGCCAACTTCAAGGATTTGTTGCTGCAACTAGCCTTCGAGGAGTTTGCTTTTCTCTTTGGCCCGGTCAGTACGTGCGGCCTGTCGAAGTCTCGAACCCTTTGGGCTTTCAAGTAGGTTTTGGTTTCCGATTTGGCAAGTTGCAGTACGCATTATCTTTGGCGCATTTTGCCAAGGGATGTTAGGACTTCAATTTTTTGCCAACTTAATTGGGTTTTCCGTATTAAACCACTGAAAGTTGAAAACTTTGTGCAGGGGAGCAGAAAGCAACCGAGTTATACAGCTACAACCGTTACAACCTCCGTACTAGATTCCATATCTCACAATGCCAACTTGGCACTTGGGTTTCCCTGTTGCGGTTCCGGCATTTGAGGTTCCTCGCATTGCGAGAGATCATTGAACTCGGCCCATTCGTGGTTGGATCTAAGCAATTGCAGAATCGACTGATCGACGCGTGCGCGATTCCGAAACTCGGCACCGAATCCTTTTGACCCGACCTCCGGTGGCCTGTTTGTTTCCTGTCGCTGATTTGGAGAGAAATGGCCTGGGAGGTGATTTATCCCAGGCAATCCATCTAGGCAGCATATACCGAAATTTGACCCATAGGTGTTGGTATGGATATATATATATATGTATACAGTGCTCCTACATGGTTTGTTTTAACCATGGCCGATCTGTCGTCCATGAGCGTTGTATCACTAAATGTCCGCCGTACAAAAGCCGCTCAGCAGGTAAGCGAGCCTCAGACAGAAGTAACGGCGGCCATGGCGGCCGCCTTTAATTTAATGTGTATATATATATATATAATAGATAATAATATTATATATACGCCTATTTGTACACATGTGTATTGTTATATTTGTGTACGGGTTTCAGAGCGATTCCCTTTGAGTTGCTCTCGCTCCGTGCTGCCTGTTTGGTTCCAACTCGGGAACAACACCCATGTGCATGACTGCAGATCCAGAGCTGCCATGACATGTGCGTTTCTTCAGATGTGCCACCAGCGAAGCATCAAGCCAATTCGCACCTGACCATCTTAGCTTGGCTAGTTCGCTTTCGTTTAACGCGGCGCGTGATTCACGCGTCATTTCCCAGTTGCCAAGCGGAAAACGCCATGGCTTCTCGAGCGCGGCTGGTGGCGGCTAAGACTGGGGACTGGGGGAGGGGCAGATGGGCAGAGAGGTTCATGGCTAGGCCTAGCCCTCGTTCTTAAACGTGTTGCACATGCTGTTTTGTGGCCGGGGCGGGGGGCTGCTGTTTGCCCCAGCCGTTTTGTCAGAAGACCTCGGGTTTTTCTGTGGTCAAATGTCCGGTTGAAGGGCAACCTCCAACGGTCTCGAACACTTGAGGCAGGGGTGCTTGGACCTTCAAACACACCAGGACGACCTTACTGATCCAGGGCTAAAATCGAGCGATGTTGTTGGGGATTAATTGGGGGATGGTTGATTTTGTTAGAGGGTGACATCCAGCAACTCGTGGAGTTTGTGTTCCTTTGGTCAAAGCCGCTGTTTCTTTCCAGCTCAGCTGTGTCAGGGTGCAAAAACATCCATCTGCACAGTGGTTTCTTGGGATTCTGATGCAGGGTTCCACAGGCAAAGGTCATCAACTTGTTTCTTTATTCAAGTTTGGCAGCCAGGAAATTGCTCGACAAAAGCATGAACCCCCAATTTCTTGGAGGAAGCTTTTATTTGGAGGCCCTTTTCTTGAGGGCTCCTTTCAACTTGTTCAGGGGAGTGGGACCATGTTTGGGCGGGAGCCATGCCCAATTTGCTCTGCATGTTGGATGGTGCATGTCCACAAAATGGCGACACCCTGTCCAAAGGAACACTGGCCAAAGGATTTGTCCCCAGATCAATCCGTCAACGTTGTTTTTCTTCCTAAAAAAGGACCCCCCCCTCCAAAACAGCATGTGGAACCCTGGTGGAACCCTGACCCTCATGGAAGCCTCGTGGAACCCTCGTGGAACCTTACCTCCGGGCCGCCCCGGACCACCCCGGAGCCTATCTGGGCGGAGACCCCAAAGCTTTCAGCTGTTGGGGAATAAAATTGTGGTTTTCCTGTTGGTTTCCCTGAAAAACTGCCAAAACAAAGGTATCCCGAAAAGAGAGAGACTCATGTTTGTTTTGATCTCCTTTACACGGCCCCAGCAAGGAATACGGACCCTAACGAAAAGCGCACTCGACCCCCTTTTTTGTGTTTGGGCGATGGTGTGATTTGTTGCATACCAGCTTTTGTTTGAATCTGTGCATGTCTAGTGTGTGTTTGCTTGGTTGCTTGGTTGGTTGGTTGGTTGGCTGGCTGGCTGGCTGGTTGGTTGGTTGGTTGGTTGGTTGTTTGTGTGTTTGCTTGCTTGCTTGCTTGCTTGCTTGGTTTGTTTGTTTGTTTGCTTGCTTGCTTGCTTGCTTGCTTGCTTGCTTGCTTGCTTTGTTTGTTTGTTTGTTTGTTTGTTTGTTTGTTTGTTTGTGTCTTTGTTTCTTTGTTTCTTTGTTTCTTTTTGTTCTTTGTTTGTTTGTGTCTTTGTGTCTTTGTTTCTTTGTTCTGTTTTGCTTTGTTTTGTTTGATTTGCCTTGTTTTTGCTGGTTTGTTTGCTCGCTCGTTTGCTTGTTTGCTTGCTTGTTTGCTTCATTGCTATGGCAATGTGTGTTTTTGTAGCTACGTACTTGAGCACCCAGCCGTACTTCAGCCGAAAAGACGCGTCTTTCTTCTGCCCTCGGCCCTCGGGAGGTCTTGGGAGGGTCGATCCGAGGGTCGATCCGCAGTGAGGCGCCGCTGGCCCTGGCGTTGCTGATGCGAGGTTTGCTCTTTGTAGGTGTGGCGCCTGAAGGCGGGCTGGAAATTCAGAGATGTGTTTTCGTTTTGTTGTTTTCTTTTTTTTGTTTTGGGGGGGGATCTTTTTTTTTTTTTTTACCTAGGGCTGGGGGGGGATAAAAGGAAACCAAAAGGACAACCCCCCCCTTTTCAAAGGTCCCCTTAAAATTAGCGACACCCAGATCTTTTACATCCCGGCACCGCTGTTATTGGGTTCCCCACCAAAATTAAAATTGGTGAGTCTTTTGGAGGGTCCCCTAGTCTCCGAGCGACGGGGCAACTGGGCTACCCCAGCTGGATGGAGAAGACTGGATTTGAATACTGGTGGATAAGCCACCAAATCCCCACTCTCCAACTGCCCAGCGTGGAAATTGACCGACAGTTCCAAGCAACGCTTCGAAACCTAAGCTTTTCCACAGAACCCTTTGAACCTTGTGGTTTCCCCCTGGTATATGTTCGTGGCCCCAAAAGGTTCACTTGTCATTTCTGGGTTCCTTGGGCAACTGAGATTTGTCAAGGGGAGACACCGACCATTTGGGTCCCGTACTTCTTCTTCTTCTTCTTTTTCTCCACCAATAGATTCTCAGAGAGTCTATGGCTAGGAACTTCCCAGGAGCTTCCCAGGCTTTTTCTTTCTGGAGAAGTCCCTTGCGTCACGTGGGCCATGGCTCGGGAGCTTCGATGAAACAGGTCCGGCTTGAACAACCGGAGTTGGCGAACCTGGCTTCCAGTTGGCCATTTGATCTGCCGGTCGGTCGAGGTAGGTGTTGGGCTAGGAACATTGGTAGGTTTGAAGAGAAGCCAGGAAGGGGGATGCCTTCTTTATCATTTCAGGAGTCTCCTCCCGAAATGAGTGGTTGCTTTTTTTCCTCTGTGTGTTATGTTAGTCTGAGGTAGTTGGATGTTCCCCCCAACAACAAGGTTGACCCCGGTTTTCTAAGAGATTAAAACCGGACGGTTACCAACTTACTAACTTGGCCGAATCGGACATAGCAAGAAGTGTTTTGCAGGGGGTTTACAAGTGAAGTAGGTTGCAGGGTGAAGTGGTGGCTTGCTGACGCGATTCCTCACGAAACGTCGAAACCGCCGTAGAACCACAAGTCAATGGGCCAAAGCAAACCCGCAGGCCGTACGCTGAAAACCTTCATGGCATCGAAGGCTGGAAGAGATGGTCATATTTTTATGGGGCTCGGTACCAACCATGTTTTGTGGGTCTAAATGGAAACCAAAGGAAAACCCGCCATTTTCGGGGTCCCTTAAAAAATATGCCAGGGGGTGGCTTGGTACCCCTTGAGGATGGATGTTGACTGGGTCAAAATGCCTCCTTAGAAGGCTTTGGGTGGATATCGAACCTCCACACCTCCTTAGAAGGCTTTGGGTGGATATCGAACCTCCACAGGGGGCAAAAGCTGAGGTTTGGGGGGGTGGGGGGGGGGGTTGCTTCAGGGAGGATCAAAGTGTTCGGAGCCATATTGCCACACACCAACCAGATGAGCGAGTAAATTCATACCCTGGCCCGGTGATCAATCTGGCGCTCGGATTTGCGCTGTGCTATCTGAGTATTCCTCGAATTTTCCTGAGACCTTGCCAGGCCTTGGCCAGCCCCCAGGAAGGCTAGCCTTAAGGAAGCCGTATTTGGGCCATACGGGAAGGATGCTTAGGCGGGAATGGTTCCAAGCAAACTTGCTTGAAGCACTGCGAAATGTGTGTGTGTGTGTTCAGACTAGGATCGCTTGGGGGTTGCGGCCTGCTATGAATCCTCTAGGTCCGGAGTGATTTTGGTCGGTAGCCATTTTCCTACCAAGCAAAACGTCCTTTGTCTGTCGCCGACGGGAATCAGAAGCTTCATTGCCTTGTTTGGATATTCTCTGAAGGGGGAGTTGTAAGGGGCAGAAAGACTCCCAAAGCATGCTAGCAGGATTGTCAAGTAGATCCAGCTCCAGGTTGAATTTCATGTATGCTTCTATGTTCTTCTGTAAGCTGACAGTGAACATAAAGACCTTAGTTCCTCCCA